AAGAGTGAGACCCTGTCTCTACTAAAAATAGAAAAACTAGCTGGGCATTGTGATAAGTGCCGTTAGTCCCAGCTACCTGGAGGCTAAGGCAAGAGGCTTGCTTGAGCCCAAGAGATTTTTTTTTTTTTTTTGAGACAGTCTCAAGCTGTCACCCTGGGTAGAGTGCCGTGGCGTCACAGCTCACAACAATCTCAAAGTCTTGGGCTGAAGCAGTTCTCTTCCCTCAGCCTCCCAAGTAACTGGGACTATAGGCGCCCACCACAATGCTTGGCTATTTTTTTGGTTGCAGTTGTTGTTTTAGCTGACCTGGTCTGGGTTCAAACCCACCAGCCTGGGTGTATGTAGCTAGCGCCCTGCCCACTGAACTATGGGTACTGCCCGAGCCCAAGAGTTTGAGGTTTCTGTGAGCTACCTAGGGCAGCAGAGTGAGACTGTCTTGGGGGAAAAAGTGCATCCTTTCTGGGTCTTCTCACCAGGCCTGCTGCCCAGGCATAGTATTTGGAAAGAGGGGGAAGTAGGAACCCCAGGGGTTGGTACTCCCTGGTGTGTTATTCTATCACTCAGAAAGGAGATAAGTGCATCCCCCCAAGTGGTGGGAAAGAAATTAGCCATTGGGGTACTTTTGGGGGGACTGACTGCCTGAGGTCAAGGATAAGAGATTGCCTTCCAAATACCTCTTGACCATTCTTTGTAAACATAATTGTGTTACTTTAGGAAAAGATCAGGCCACTAGAGTGCAGTAGCATGATCATAGCTCAATGTAATCTAGAACTCCTCGGCTCACCAAGCAATCCTCCCACCTTAGCCTCCGAAGTAGATGGGACTAGAGGTATCAGCCACAATGCCTAGCTAGTTTCTTTTCTTTTCTTTGAGACAGTTACACTCTGTCACCCTAAGTTTAATGCAATGGTGTCATCATTGCTCACAGCAACCCCAAATTCTTGGGCTCAACCAATCCTCTTGCCTTAGCCTCCAGAATAGCTGGGACTATAGGCACCTCAATGCCTGGCTATTTTTAGAGACCAAGTCTTGCTCTTGCTCATGTTGGTCTCAAACTCCTGAACTCAGGCAATCTACCTGTCTCAGCCTCCCAGAGTGTTAGGATTACAGGTATGAGCTTCAGCACTCTGCCTCTTCGGCTTCTTCAGAGAAAAACTGGGTGGGGGGCATGGGAGTGAGAGGATCACTGTTCACTGTCTGCTCTTTCCTTTTCTGTTATGTGTCCAGTGCTACATTACATTTTTGAAAAATAAATTCAAAAACTTCAATATTTTTATCCCAGGGTTGGGATCTTCTTGAATACTTAAGTGTACAATGAAGCCTTATAGAACAAATTTTCAAAATCTTCTTTTCCCCTGTTATGTGGCTCATATAGAAAGGTGGAAGCAGAGGTCAGCCGGGGTCCTGGGGTGGTAGGTACCTGATTCGGCGGAAGATGCTGTCCAAATCCCGTTTCATCTCTACCAGAGTTCTCGTGTGGTGTAGGAAGCGCTCACTCATCTGCTGAAGGCGGG